ATTATTATTATTATTATTATTATTATTATTATTATTATTATTATTATTATTATATTTGTCTCCCGTTGGGGTGTTATGTTTTTATTTCGGTTTTATAAGAACAAACGAACGGAAAGGACAATAGAAGAAAAGTCGAACCCTCTCAAGGGGCCCACCCGATTCACAGTGAAATGTGACGTCAATACACACACACAGACATACTCATATCTGGAAACTTATTCGTCCGGATTAAATGGGACAGGCAAAGGTAAACTCCCGAAGTCCAATAAATTTCCTATAAAACGTACGCCAACGATAATCCCGTATGATAAAACATGGTTCTGCGCACGGGGCAACGGTGTTCGTCGCGTGACATAGTAGAACAGTTCACGACCCCTCGCCGCCGTACTATCGGTTATCGAAGCAGATAGACTGCTATTTTTTCGGGTACAATTTACATACGACACGGTTTCATTCGAACGCGCGTTGCGAGCAATATTTCATCACGATGGAATAATTTAACTGCAACTGCTCATATCCATTTAAGTGTTTAATCCAAGTAATTTCGGTTTCAACCGGTTATTAGTTTGAAATATTGTCCACCTCAACATACGCAATTCATGACGTAACGTCGTGCACCGTGTTACTAATGTGTAACAACATATTTGAAATGCTTCTTGAAAAAAAGCATTTTGTATTTCAAATACTTATAATGTGACCGAATATACACTTGTATTCTTAATAGTAACTTCTTATTCTCTTTTGCCTTTCTCTTAAATATTTGTAAACGGCCACCCTTGTCCTAAATCTCCACTGTTTTCGATTTTCTACATCCTCTCCGCGTACTCCAACAGCTCTCGTACCATTCCAAATCGTATTCAACCATATCTTTTTTGGTCTTCCTTTTTCTCTTACCCCTTCAACGTTAATTTTCATAACCACTTTTACTGCCTTTATTTCCTTTTATCTCACCACAGGCCCAATCCATCTCAATCTATTTTCCCTCGTCTTATCCACTATCGATGCTACAACCAATACTGTCTCTTACATATTCGTTTCTTATTCTATCTTCACATGTCACTCCACTCATCACTTGAAATACTTTCAATTCATATACCTAATATTTTAATACAATTTACGAATACGTTTAACGATAGTCATATGTTTTTTTTCAAGATAGGCCTCCATGTATTCTCGTTTTTTCACATAGCTAACGCATAAATCAAGTGAACATAGTAGCATATAATTGTATAATATACTATATAGAGCATAGCTACAGCTTATATTAAAAATAGGTTTGATAAGATTGTATATAAATATTTTACTAGGTAAATAATAATTTCCAATCTTGATGCTTCTTTTTTTATTATTTTAATAAATATTGTATACTTACGCTTTGAATCGAATCCCAAAATAAAATAAGGACACGGAAATGTGGCCACTCCACCAGCTTTGGTTCGATTAACACACGACCAACCATCAAACTCTCTAGGGCACCAAACATCACTGTCGGACACTGTAAGACAATAACGCATTGTTAAAATTAAATTTTGGCTCCTAGTATACATGTACAGTATATGAATAAAATATATTTATCACAATAAGAATTCATTGCTTCGATAATGTGTAACATGATCACACGCTCATTACGTTCGTTTGCTCCGTTATCAGTTTTATTAATTACATGAATATTAATCAATCGTTATGTGTTAATAATGCATTAATTAAATAGTCCACAAAATATAAAAAAAAAAAAAATAATCGTTCTCTTCAAATCGTTTCTGAAGATCTCGAAGTTAACGGTTATAAGAACACAATATATATTGCATCATCAATTAATTATAAAATACTGAATTAAGATTAGAGAAATCTCATGAAATCAAACGGGGACCTCTGCAATGCTATAATTGTCAAGAATATGTATACACACAAAATCATTGCAATCACCAACCATGTAGTGACACAAATATGGTGTGGTTCACTTATCTGAAAACTGCAACAAGGATCGGAGTAGCTAAATAAAATGCGCCCTCTACTTCGAAGACTATACGATCAACTTCAAAGGGTCCTGAGTCTATCAAAATATTTATAATCACCAAAAAATTAAATCCGCAAATCGTTAAAATAATACTCTTCATCTTATCAATAAAACCCCGGAGTCCACCTCTAATACTCATTTTCAATTAAATCCACCCAGTGCTTTTACTACTTTTGGTACTAAATCCAATAATACCCTAGAAAATTAAAATAAAGAATTAACTCTGCCCAAATGTCTTTCCAGTTGAACTTCAAATATTGATTTTCTTATCATCATGTTTAATAAACAAATAATTGCATTAACAGTTAAAAATACTTCAACTATCGAAAAATCAAATACATACGTTCATCCTAATTCATAAAATATCATCTTTACTATGCTAATAACATTCATAAAACTTAAAAAAAAACTGCTTTAATTTTAATTGTATTATACGAGTATGCATTAACAAGGTCGACAATCACTTATAACATTTTCGTTTATATTCATATTCATTATAAAGTTTGTACTTGTTCATAGATTGTACGTTATTAATTATAAAAATGCTTTCGTATACATGTATTACGTAAACAAACTAACAATTTTTAATTTCTTAAATACAATGCAGCCAAATAATGTTTTACATCTTTTTATGTGAAAAAGCTTGACATATATTTACAAACTTAATAAATATTAATTATATTAAACAGTCGACAAGTTTATCGTGTAGTTTTATTTAATTAAATTATACATTAAAAAGGTACTTCAATTTGTTGTAAGTCCACGCATGAGTACTTTCTACATCCCTACTTATTCTCAATTCTTCTATATGTACATCGACTAGAAACTATACGTAATCAATTTTTTTCTTATTTTTGTAACTAAATATAAAATTCATCGATTATAAAGTATATGTGTCATACTGATTTTTAATACATTTATAAAAAAATATTTTACAATGCAAAATTTTAATGTTTACATGTTGATAATATTTATTAATGATCATTTATAATGATTTAAGACCTCATATATTGATTTATTATTAATAGTATATAATATATAGAAAAAATATAAAATAATATAATGAAAAATTTAAGAAGTAATAACTATACTAACGTTAAGTGAAAATAACTATAATTTGAAAATAAAATTATTCATAAATTATGAATAAGTATTTAAGTTATACTAATTAAAAAAATCATCTAACTTATAACTGTTTTCATAAAATCCAGTGTTAATAAATTTACTTTGATATACAGTATTTCGGGTGATAATCATTAGTTATTTCGTATTTTAAATAAAATCAAATGCATTACAACTTTCAACATTGAATGGTTTCAATAATATTTAAGGTACAATCAACTTTTTATATTATCTATTTACTTAACGATAAACTTTAATTGTATTTTTGATAATTTTAATTGTCACTGATTAAAATAACAAATTAAGTGTCTATTGACTTTTACATTTATGAATATTCTTTCCTAGTCAATATGGTAAACCTTTTTAAATACTATTTAATCAACTGTTTCTAACCCATTCGAATAAATTTATACAGTATAATACCATTTTTAACCTTCCGAATAAATAAACTGCTCAAAATTGATGTTGAACTGTTATTAAAAATCTAAAATGTTTAGTGTATACATAGGAAATTATTCATTAAGTGAATTTTCGAATGATCACTATAATATACTAAATGCAATTATACACTTATTGTAGATAAATATTTTTAAATATTTCATAAACAAACCAACTTTGTTAACACATATACATAACTATATTAAAGTAATAATTATACCATACAAATAGATTTTTACCGTTCTAAAAGTAAGTAAATTATAATTTATAAACAAATGACTATTTCTAAATAAAACAAGTCACAAAATCGATTAATTGAAATACACTTAGCCTATAAATTTAAACTGAACATTTTTTATAATTGTCACGTCATAATATTTCTACGAATAAAGGTATAGTAAAAAAGAAATAACTCGTCAAAATATTTTTATTTTTTTCTAACATATACTTGATTTTTTTGTTGTTATGTTTTATCATAACAATTTTCAATTTTTAGTTTTCACAGAAAACTTTATATCCTTAGATATGTCAATCAGAATATGATGAAAAATCGACTAAATGTTTACCTGATGGTTCACTAAGCCACACTACATAATTTACTATATTTTTAAAAATAAATTGAAAAAGTGTAATACTCCGCTTCTGTGCGGTAAGTGAAACTTTTTTCATAAATATTTTTTTACACTTTATACAAATTACACGCTTTAGGGTTCAAGCTATTGATGGAATAACACATTTTTCGAAAATCAATTACGTTTCGTTGATTATTTAACTGTAAATAAATCAATATTTTTACCTGTTCCTGAAGATGATGATATATTATAATAGTTTACGTAAATTTAATTTTTATAATATGCCGTATCGATAAATAACTGTTGAAGCAATAGTTTTAAAGCGCTCGAGGACAAGACAATAAGAACGATTAGAACGATTTACATAATCTGTGTTACGAAACCGATATTTAGATAACAGTCGTGATATTTATGAAACTATTTCACTTGAACTTTGAATTATATTAGTGGTCAGCGTATATTCGTGTTGTTTGTTTACTTCATGCCGTTATATATATTTCCGCAATACGGCTCAATAAATGTTTACGATCATACATGTACAACTAACAAATCAATGAAGCAAGCAATAAATGTACAGTTGATAAAATGCATCAAAAAGGTTGATCACAAACTATTTTTAAACGATTATTCACAACATAAAAAAAACTAGAAAGTCAAATTAAAAATTTAACATTTTAACAACTCGGCCATTATACTTCCCTCGAAGCCGTTAGTTTATAACCACGCCACTGATCGATCAATACCATCTCCATTGTCCTCGGTATTAACCGCATTATTTGTTTTATTTATTGTACGTATACAGACTAAAAGCATATTATTATACAATCCGAACCTGTGGCTTACACGTAATTCTTTTGAGGGGTGCTAATCAATATGTATCGCGAATCGAGAAATAAAAACACCCCAAATACTATGAATAAGTATTAAAAAAAAAAAAAATTGTCAAATACGATTCATCACGTTTTGCGATAAATTTTGTCTGCCGAAATATCGTGCGGAACCTACGTGTATCGAAATTGAGATATGTGATTCCAAGTGTTAGCTAATAAAATATCTGTGGACGCTGCGACCGAATCCTGCAATCATTCACCCACCCATAACTCTCTTGGACACGTCTTCGAGCTAAATTCACGTGACGAGATGGACGCGCCAGACGTACGATATTTACAAGCACGTTAAAGTCGGCCGCGTACGACGTCACGTCGTATCACTTTCGAGGGTTCACAGAAACACGGGTAGGATTTGATAGCCTTTCTGAATTGACGTTTGCACATGGTCGCTAATGTAGCGCGAGCGCAAAATCGGTTCGAAAAAATATAAATCGGCCCAGGGATGCGGTCATGGAGGAATTTTTACGGCACATGTGCGCCGTCCAGCTCCCCACGCTCGCATAACACGATGCTCGCGCACCCGGGTTCGTTTTTCAAGCACTAAACAAATTGCCGCCTTTTAATATAAATTCTTTTCTAGTCTAAAATATGTTGTCAAAGCACACGATTATAGTCGTTTCCTTTATTACTTAAAATCTTAATGATGTAAAATAAAAATATACAGCTGTTACAAAAACTGCATGCATACATTCATATGAAAAACTGAATTATAAGAATACAATATAAAATATAATGATAAAAAACATGGTAGTAAAAAATGCTTAAAACAGTAATTTTTAAATTATATTCAAAACTAAATACTTATTGCCTAGTACCCATTGGCTTCAGTAAAATAAAACATTTTACAATTAGTTGTATTTATTTTAGTTCTAGTTACATACGATAAAAAATAAAATATTAAAAATGATTCGCCACCCTAAGCACTAGCTTATAGTATTCACTAGGAAATACTGCACTGGCTCGCACGTGTTCGCCCTGGGCTCGCGTATCCACGTGTAGTCGATGCGGCGGCAACGATTATTCTCATGGACGTCGGACCAGTAATCGTTCAAACGCGTGCGCGCGTCCAGAACGTACTTAACTTTTACCTTCGGTCGGGCGAAGGCGAAAATTCGAAACAACCACCGCGGAAGTAGAAAGTATGCGTGCAAACGCACTCTATACGTCGGATACGAAATCCGAACGCCGTGTAACGTCCGACGGTGAAAAGTATCATTACACGTTAAAAATAATGCACGCACGACGTCAAACGAAAAGCTCGCGCCCGGTCCATGGTTTACAAGTGATCGACGAAATACAGAAAATCGTTGGTCATGTTTATCGATTGTTTTTCGTTTTCGGCCCGACTGTCGACTCAAAAAGTCGTGTTCGCCTCGGTCGCTGCCCGCCGATTAAGTTTTTGCTGTGGGTACAACAGTGGCGATTTTACGAGGGGAGCGATAGATGAACCGTTCCC